ATGTACATGCGCTTCCACATGCATAAGTACACCCACACCTACACTTTGAACAGCTAGCTAGCCGGCTACATGCATGCACACGTCCAATGCATGCATACATGCATGCAATGATGCATACCCACCTAACCTCCCTCCCTGTCCACCTACATACATACCATACACACAGGCAGGCATACATACACGCATGCAGCCATACACAGACATGCGCATATATCTATCTATTTATTTCTCAATCTACCCATTTATCTATCCGCTTATCTATCTATCTATCTATCTATCTATCTATCTATCAGTCTATCGATCTATCGATCGATCTATCTATCTATCTATCTATCTATCTACCTGTCTATCTATCTATCTTTCTTTCTTTCTATCGGTATGTTACATAAATGTTACATATATGTACATATACCTCCGTGCATATACGCATATATCACATGTATGTGTGTATGTATGTATGTATGTATGTATGTATGTACGTACGTATACATGTTAAGGCTCTTGGGTCAAGGGGGGTGATACGATTGAAGCGAAGAGATGTTCGTTGCAAGGGGCTTAGGGCTGCTCACCATATGCCATGAAGAGGACATGAGGCAAGGCTCACTGCCCCCTGCATGGCAGTTGAGGGAATCGTCGGAAGGAGCCTCTTTGACCCAAACCCTGGAGGTGTGAAGTGTCAACCTGACAAGAAAGTCTAAAACCTTCGGCCCTAAGCTCCTGAGCCCCAATCTCAAGCCTTTTCAATCTCCGAATAGGCTTAGACAATGGATAGCTCTTGAGCGCTATGGCTGTGTGTTTCGGGTGATTGACTTTGTCCTTGGAGGCTGAAGGTTGTGGTTTCGAGTCTACAGTCTAAAGGTGTTCCTTGGGACACCCGAGTGCGACAAGAGTTATGATGGCGCAGCATTAGACTATGTCGCATCTTGGGTGAGCTAGAATCAATTGGAAGATTCATTTTGCAAGTGCTGGTTAACTGCCTGAGAACGCAAGGCCTCTCAATCTCGCACTACTACGCAGCTTTCGCAAGGCTAGTCATCCCGGAGAAGGGGCACGGGCCGACCCGCAACAGGCAGAGATTGTCAGCACCTTGCCTCATGGGTGAGGTTGATGGGTTCATGCTCAATGATGAAGTGAGAGGCCGCTGTTTTACATGTTACCCATACTTGTCAGCGGTGGGGGGCATTCGTTAGAAAGCCAAGACGCTACTGTGCAGTGGTGGTTGGAGGAGGCTTTCAAGCCAAGACCGTATCTGTGCTAGGCCACCATGATGCCTCCGACAAGCTTAAACGCTTCGCCAGGAAAACACCACATCCTCTTGTTCATGTTGCTTACCCTCCCACGACTCGGATTCCATCGCGTCAGTCTGACTATCCTACACAAACCTTGACTTGAGGCCCAAAGCCCTCACCCATCTAAGGGCTCAGGTTTCGGATGTAGGGGTTAGATGACTCCAACAAGAGTTACAGATTGCGGTGTTTCTTACGGTTCGGACTTCCTTCGGCGGGTGTAGGCAGAAGCCTCCAAACCTCTAACCCTAAACCTTGCACAGTGGACTACTTAGAACAACTGTCAGATTCAAAATGAATCAAGCTCGATAAGATGCGGCAGCGAAGCGAGAGCAACGAACATTTCTTAGGGCTTTAGGGTCTCACGTCCTTGTTTCCTCCCGGACTCTCAAACGGCTTTGCTGGTTGACGCTGTCAGGTCAAGGGATTGGGCCTTGTAATTCAGGCTGACGGCCGAGATTTATTGAGGGTTGGGTGGAAGGGCTGCAAGATTTGAAACTGGACGGTCAAGGCACATTCTACCGTAGGCTTGCTTACTGACGGAATGCTTCTCAATATTGGAATGCAGCCGGCACCGTATGTCAGAGGTGGACATGAACCCTGGCCAGTCAGCTTCCAGTGTGGCATCCAGCGTCCCATCGCATTTACTCGCTTCTGTACCTTGGCGGATAATGATATTGTAATTACGGCTCTCGTGTTGCAGGTTTCGGGTTCCAACTTTCCGTCCCACGGAGTCAGAGGCATGTCCTTTTTGGGGTCGCAGGGTAGCACATGTAGTAGATCAGGTGTCTGCGGTACAGGGCCATGATCTGGGAAGATTGCTTCAATCGGACCTGTGACGCTCCAAACCCTGCACCACACTCTGGCCTCAACAAGGATTGGTCTTAGAGTAATCTCCACCTAGGACCCAGGACCGACAGCTGGAGTCAGGGTCTTTGCCAGGGAATCTAATTCGGGTTGCCACGATAGGGGTACATAGCAAAGTATACGTAATTGTAGAACTCTCAAAAGAGCTCCAGTATATCGTAGTATGTGGGTGCCAGGGATTTATCTATGCAGTCAATGCTGCACCACAGGTCATGAGGAAGAGGCCCTAACTTTTGCCCCTGCCAAAGCACATGTTCGAATGCGCTATGTGTAATCTGCTTCAAACCCATATTGGGCTTGTGACATGAAAAGCTGTCTGCAGCATTGATCGCTCGCCTTGAGCACTCTTGTAAACGCTGGGTGACTTGAAAGTTCAGCTGGTTCTCACGACAACTCTGCACATGCTGTGTAGGCTTCCAGCATACTCAAGAGCTCACTAAACTTCCGGCGGCTTAGAGATTTCAGCACTCCTCCTTGATGCGACCGTGAGGGCTGCATCATTATCACCAGTAGATTCTATTGCCGCCGTTCTTTATGCAGCATCTGCAGAGAGTGACCCGTTGTACATTTCCAGCGTTCCGAAGACCCCAGCATTTTCTGAACACATGTAGATGATCTCTTCCTGGAACCTGGTAGAAGGGCCCAGCAATGACTTTTCTTGATGGAAAAGGGGGGTTCAACTCTGGTGAACACTGGCTCGAGATCTGCCTGGGTGGCCCGGTCTGGTCTTTGGTTGTCTTTGGCCTGGGTTGCTTATGCCCTCCCACCGTAGGCATAGAGCACGATGAGGATGAAGGTTCATCTGGGGTAGCGTGAGGAGGTTCCGCGTCAAGTGGAACCTTGGTACTGGGTGAAGTGCCTGCCAGCATTGTTTCATCGAACTTCTCCCGCAAATCACGTAGTCTTTCTGCTTGTTCAATAGAGAGGTTTTTCGGGTCAACGGTCAGGAGCCGCTGCTTAAGCTCAGTCCGGGTAAGTTTCCCGGAGTCTGGCTTAGGAGCCACAGCTCTCAGCGCTTTCGCTTTAGCACCTGTGTTCCTCAAACAGTGCCTCTTTCCCAAAGGCCAAGGATAGCTATCCCCAGGATGATCACCGCGAGGTACAAATCCCAAGGTATCTCTGTCCTTATATCATCTTTCTGAGCTGCAGGTCCACAAACTTGACAAGAAGGAATAGTCGAAGTAGCCATGAATTTCCTTGCACGTCTTTCTTGGCAGCCTTCAGCTCAGCCGCAGGCCTCCGATCAATCAGGCCCCACATTGTCACCAGTTGACGGATTCCTTCACTGGTGAAAGGCTTTGTGCCTAGATCTGCTCGTTGAAACTCGCCCGGAACGTGCTTGATGGCCGGCTCATTCCTCATAGTCATTTCCCGAACCCAGTTGCTCCTCAGGCGAAGATGTCTTGTCCGCCAACTGCCCGATGAAGTTGTAAGCAAAGCAATGGCAGCACGATTATCCACCCAAACCAAACCACCGCCGGCAACTCCTTTCCCAATAACTCGCACAGCAGTCCTCTCGTTGACATCCCGAGCAAAATGCCCTCCGCGGTCTCAAGGAGTTCCGACTCCGCAGAAGACAATGTAACCAATTGTTGTCTGGCAGCCCTCCATACGAGAGGACATTTGCCGTAAAAAACAACCGCCGCTCCTTGCGATCTTCCTCCGCTCGGTGCGAAGGAGGAGTCTGTGTAGATGTCGAGCTGCGAGATCGCTTCGTCAGGGTCCTGGGTGAAGGCCAGACGATGATGTGTGGTCTCGTTCAAGTATAGTCCAGAAGCCGCTTTCCCACTTTGTTCACCATATAACTGAAACTGTGTGTTGTAGGTCGGGCCTTGTGCGGCCCATTAGCCAGAGTAGTTCCCCGACTCGTCGTTGAGCTTCCTTCACCTCCGGACCTTTCGGATCCGCAATGCAAGGTTCAGCATCAATGAGGGCTCGCTCGTCCTCATCACTCAAAACGACTGTTTCTCGCGGCCCCTGAGCTTGTAATCGTCCTCCTTGATGACCATGAGAACGAAGAATCTCATTGTTGAATCCTTGCTGGGCTAGCTCCACTCCTCCTGGGACTCGGTGTAGCTCCATGCCCAACACTCGTATTGGGTGGTCGTAGTCAAGATCGTCCAAGGCGTCCACTTCCCACTTTGCGGAAACCCATTCAAAGAAACCCTTCATGGCCCCTTCTTCGGCATGGAGGAGCAGGTCATCGATGTAGACCACGACGTACCTGTAGATCTCCTCCCCTCCATTCTTTGGGAGTATTTTCCATATCAGGTTATCGGAGACCATTTGTTGGAGCTTCATTGTTGTAGGGACTCCATCAACATCCATCGTCCATCTGGCCAACTTCAACTGTTCATCTCGAAACCGGGACCAAAGGGCTGGGGACTCACGCAGACCGTAAATGGCTTGTTCCATAAACCAGACCTCGCCTGGCGAGGCCAGGCCCAACTCGTAAGCGATGGCTGGAGGTTCCCTCGCAACAGCCTCACCCAGCCACCTTGCCAAAACGAAAGCTGGCCCCACATCCGTGGTCCCTATCCTCCAAGGCTTCCTGGCAGTGGCCAGAAGTGTCCTCAAACGTGTGGCGCCCACCCGCCGCGAAGAGGTCGAAAGTGCCTTCCTCCTCCTGCACATGGTTGCCACAAGCCACAAACCGGGCCTTTCTCCGAAAACCATCACCTCCCTTGCCTGGCTTCACGGTGTAGACACCCTTGCATGGAACGATCATGCACCCATGTGGTAGTTCATTCCTCCTCCTCACTGAGAACGCATTCTTGGAATCCCTCAAGTTCTGGAATTCCTTGAGGGCTTGTTTCCATGCCTCCAGGCTTTTTCGTACATCACTCAAACTGACATTGTGCGTCACTTCCAATGGTTTCCCACTCTCCTTGATCTCGGAAAGGAGCTCCTCCATGCCCTTGGTGTACTGCACTTCAGCCTTCTTCACAATCTTCATCATTGTAGCGGCTGCTCGGTCACGAACCCATTCACCATGATCTCGAGCGGGGAGAGGCTTTTGACCTTCTTCTTGACAAAGGAAATCATAGTCATGAATCTCCGCAAAGGCGCAGCTCTCCAAAGCCCCAGGTTCCTTTTCAGCATCTTCACTTGGGGAATAGGAAATGCTGACAAACCCTCATCCACATGGTTCTCCTCATCTGAATCCTCGTCCCCTTCCGCCAGAGCACGATGATCAACATTGAAGCCCATATCCATATCCTCGAGAGACTCAACTCCATCCGGGTGTAGTTTCGTCGCCCTCGGGGTGTAAAGTAGTAGTACAAGTCGCTCCCTTGACCATGGTTGAACTTCATGCCACATTCGAGGTGAGCAATCAACAGGCACCCCCTGCTTCATTTCAAGAAGACGACCTCGGGCTGTTTTTCCATTGGGGAGCTCCTTTTCCACACACACACACATTCTTGTCCACCTCCTCGTCCTGTACCCATAGTGCACCCTTCTCAAAGCTCCGCAGTGGCAACACATAGTTTCTGCAGAAATGGAAGTTATGTAGATCTCGGTGAAGGCCGAGTTGTGCATTCATAGCCAATCCCAAGGCCGAAAACCTCACTTCTCCACAATGAGGCGTTGCAAACTTTACGCGGAACTTGGTGGTGTCATATTGGATCTTGTGCCAGCCACACCTCCATGCACGAAGGCGCCCGTGTACCATGAGGAAATTCTGGATTTCTTCCCCAACCTTCGGTCGGTGTTGCCCAGCATCTCCAACAGCTTTTAGAGCGAAGCAGCTCCTTCCAAGTCGTAATTCTCCTCCTCAGCCAGCTTCCTTGCCTTGAACTAAATCTCATTCCTGAGGTCATCTCTTGTCGGTGGTTCCGTCGCCGAAAGCAGTTCCTCAGGGAGACCCTCCGCTATGGCTATAAAACGGATTCCTTTCACCTCGTTTTCGGGGTCAAGGGCTCCAAACTTCACGCTCTTCGCGACAGTGAGGCCACCATCTTCTCTGGCAATCAGGTGACCCCTCTTAACATCCATCGCTGGTCCTCGATACCAGCCCCGTTTCCATCTCGACCCGGCCGCCTCGTGTTTGTTCTCCCGTTTCCCTTGGTAGGCCTTTGAACGAAGCCAGACGTCATTCCCAAAGGCTGTAGAAGGAGGTGATGTCCAGGGACTGTCCGGAAAGGCTTTGGTCCACAGTTCCGCGGAAGCATGCTAGATCGCCATTGGCCAGTCGCGCGCTGGAGCTTTAGCTGCAGCCAGCAGGGCTGGCTGCGGGACGGGCCTTGGCCCATTTTATGCCCAACTCTGCGGTACTGTTTCCCGCTGGGTCACCGCCTGCCAAGGCCTTGGACTTGAACTCTCTGGCCCTGTCCGTGTGTGGACCATTCCCACATGCAGCCCAGTCTGTTTCAGCTGCAACAAGATCTCCTCAGCGGCTTGAACCACATAGTGCGTCGTTCGGCCCCTCAAAGGCCGTGTCAAGTAGACAGTAATCCACTCATCACGTTGGGCCAGTCCTTCAACTGCATCATCCAAAGTTTCTGGTCCGCCAGGATCATGTTTTTGATCACCTTCATCACCCTCAGGATCTGACGGAACTTCATCAGGCCGATGTTCCTCCACGAGTTCCATAGGAGCGTCTCCTTCTTGGTCATCAGGACCATCCGGTACATATAGATCCTTGTCCAAAAACTCCGCCGCCTTTTCATTCATGTACTCCCTTTGGCATCGATAGGCTGCCACCACGATGTACTTATAGTCTTCGTGATCCATATCCCTTCCTTTCTGCCGGAATGGTCCGGCAAGATCCAGTCCCAGAGTGTGCAGAGAAGGGTGCGGGCGCCGTCTATGTTGGTATCCTGTTGCTTGATCATTGATACATATTGAACAGTCTGACCTGTAAGGCTGATGATCGTTCCGTAGGTGACGATTCCACGATACACGCTGTTCCTTAGACAGCTTGTGCAACTTCGCGCCAGCGTTGAATATGTCCTCCTCCTCCTCCTACCATCGCCCGGTGTGGTGGTTCTGGATCGCCTCAGCAACCATGGCCTTAAAAGACTTTGACCATTTTCTCATGTCTGCCCGGCTCAGGAGGGAAGGAGGAACGCATCGGTCACCGAAGTCGTAGTTCTTATCGATCTGGTTGAGGGAGGGATAAGTCGTAGCCAAAGTCGTAGGACGCTTGGCCTTGTGATCAAACGCACCCATATAGAAGGGAACCTCCCGTATTCCCGACACCGACCAAAAGCTTTTCCAGAGCTCGGTGTCCCACGCTGTAGGTCCGGTGGGCTCGCCTTCTCTAAGTCTTTCGCATCCAGCGGTAGACTCCATCAAGAAGCCCAACGCGCGCTTTCCACACATCTGGGCCATCAACCAAACCAACATCTGCTTTGCCACCAAGGCCGTCTCATTGTCCACTCGCTGTCGCTGGGCCGCCGTCAGGTCTTTGATGCCATAAAACCTGTGTGAAGTTCTCGCTGGGTAGGCCTCCGGTCCCCTTGCAGGGGTCATTGATGTAGGCCACGAACTGTGAGGCGGAGAACTGATCACGTCGCTGATTCGCCCATCGGCAGCTGCCCACGGGAGAAGCTGATACTCCTCCTTCCCTGTGCAAGTCCCAATGCTTGGACTTTGAGATGTCAATATGTCCAGAACGACTTTGCCTGACATCGGGATTGGTCCAAAGAACCAATTCACAACCCAGTTCCTGCAGCACATCAGAGATCGCCTCTTTCTCCGAGAAAGAGGGAGGGCCGTCAGGTATCTCTCTCCACCCCGAGGATCAAAGCCTTCAAGTAGAAGAGACTGTACATCCGATGGGAGGCCCTTGGTGATCGGGGAGGTGAGGCTGGTCTTTAGCAGCGTTGGGCGCGAGCCTGTTGTTGAGAACTCCTTAAGGAGCTCAGTCCATTCCCTCGTTTCCTAAGAAGGTTCACGTCCAAGAGCGCCTTCAAAGTTGCGACTCTGGTATTCAGTCCGTTCACCTGGGCAACTTCAAGCTCCCTTATCAGATTCAACGCATCTGCAGCTGCAACCTCAGGGCAGTGATTCCTGATCTTGACGTGAACCGTCTTCCTCGAGGGGTGTGTCAGGCGGAGGTTTCTCGGGGTCCAGTGAAGAGTACACCCCAACGTTTCGATCACAGCACCAAGCGGCACTATAAGCTGGACGGTAGCCTTCTCCTCCTGCACCAAGATGGTCCCGCTGGAGCTCTGTCTCAACACTCTAACATCCACGGAAACTCTGACCGGTTGGCCTTGGGTGTGCTCCTCCTCGCTCGCTGGTCTCGTTGGATGACTCGCTCCACTGTCCAAAGGCCAGTTTCCTCCTCCTCCTTCTTCGCCTCGTCAAAGACCCGCTTCATCATCATGTCCCCTTCCGTCTCTGTGGTATCCTCCTTCACCTTGATGGCCTTGAGGGAAGTAGCCGTCATTGTTTTCAGCATCTTACCATTATCAGCCAACACCTCCTTCAAGTCAGCTTGTCCCATACCAGCGGCAGTAGACGACCTTGACGTTATCTGCGGGGTGTCATCTATCCGGACATTCTTGTTGGAGGTAGAATTCGGGGTAGTAGAGGATGTTCCCTGCCGTGGTCCTTGAGGCCTCTGCTGTGGAGTTGTGGACGTAGAAGATGAAGGGTCTGAGGTCGAGGGCGGCTTCTTGTTCGGGCAATCCTTCGCGGAGTGATTTTTCCGCCGCAAGCCAAGCACCGACCAGTTTTTTTCCAAACCATCCCATGAGTGAAGGAAAGGGCACCGGCCTGCACGAGCACATCCCTTGAAGGTCCTATACCAGGTCCTACCAAAGAACTTACATGGTGTCTTGGCCTTTTCCTCATTCGTCCGCTCAGCATTCTCTGCTTCCGACTTTGTCGTTGACTGCGACGAGGGTCGTGATGGCGGTGAAGGAGCAGGCGCAGTAGTTGTCGATGTAGTAGCGGGAGGCTTCTCCGGTTTCACCGGCCTCAACCGACCGCGGTTCAGGCTTTGCTGGAGTAGAGCTCGTTGCTGGGGTAGTTGTCGCCGTCATTGTAGTCGTGGCCACTGCGATCGTTTCACACTCTGCCAACAAATTGTGGTAGTACTTTTTCCACCGTGTCATAGGAGGGCTTCGTGTCCACCATCAGGTGAGATCTCTCCGAACTCGTCCTGAAGTTCGCTTCAGCCTCTTTTTCCAAGACAGTCTTCGTGATCTCAGTCAGACCACACATTAGGAGCGAGGGATCACGGGCAGCAACCCCCAACTCTTTACACCTCCGCAACCAGCGGGGCCATGATCTCAGGGCTTTCACGGCGCGCTGGGCATCTGGGGCCTGCTCCGGGTGCTGCGATGGTCATCTTCTCCTGCTGACCGCCCGGCTGATAGATCGTGAGCAGCCGAAAGACCAAGGCCGTGACCGACCCTGTCGATCTTCGTTGGACCATTTCTTGCCTGGCAGACTCATGGAGAGCCAACTTCACCATCAAGCCCACTTTCCCGACTCCAACTCCTCATCTCTGGGCCGGGAGATGCTCAGCTTCTCCATTGGAGTGGCTTGTGTCCATGCTCCATCTGCAAGCCTTCTTACTCGGTTCCACCGGTCTGCGCTTCCGTCCGAAAGATCTTGCATGGTCGTGGTGATGACTTCAAGCCAGTCCATGATGTCAACTGAGCTCGTAGTAGGGTTGAGTTCGGGAAGCAAGGGGGGAGCTGTGTTGCCTGGTTTGACGGCCTCTGGGCTGCGATCCGTCTTTATCTTTATCCTTCATCTGTTTCAAGATCACCGCCTGCAACTGTGCCATGCCTCCCGCCAGGAATGCCATAGTGTCCGCATTCCCTGAGCCACCCAGCCACTGAGAGGGGGTGTCCATTGCACCTACTGCCTTGGTATCGGCGCTCTCACTCTGTTGCCACTGAGCTGCATCGTTAGGCATAGGTCCCGACGTTATCTCCGGCAACGATTGTGCATCATCAGTGACCCCACCCGTGACCTTGAAGCATCAGTAGGTACACGCTGACCATCTATGTGGTGAAGACTCCCTTGAGGTCCGCCTGGATTTCCTCGAAGCTATTCCGGAGCATCTCTAGGTACTCGCTGACCATCTGGTTGGTCAAAACTCCCTTGAGGCCCGCATGGATTTCCTGGAAGCTGTTCAGGAGCACAGGAGCACCCCTCGGTACATTATTGGCCTCTGATTGGGGTTGAAGACTCCCTTGAGGTCCGCACGGGTTTCCTTGAAGCTGTTCAGGAGCATCTCTCGGTACTCGCTGACCATCCGTTTGGTGAAGACTCTCTTGAGGTCCGCATGGATTTCCTGGCAGCTGTTCAGGAGCACCCCTCGGTACATTACAGTATTGGCTTCTGATTGGGGTTGAAGACTCCCTTGAGGTCCGCACGGGTTTCCTTGAAGCTGTTCAGGAGCATCTCTAGGTGGAGGAAGACGATGCGGTAGACGAAGTTCCCCATTACCAATTCCACATTGATCAGCTCCAAAGTCCTCTTTAGCCCTCGCCCTCCTTTCAACTTCAGCCTGCAAAGTCCGAAAGTCCACCTGGTACTTCACCGTGTACTCCTCAAGCTGCCTCTGAACTTCAGCCTGCAGTCTAGACGAATGATCGGAATCCACTTCGGAAGTCTGTCCATAGATCAAAGGATTCTCTCGTTGGGGATTGCCTCATCTGAGCAATCTGTCCCTGGTTGAAGAGAGGCTGAGTCTGCTGCAGTGTACCCGAGGACCACGAACCTGGCGATGGGATAGCCCTCGATGTAGCCATTGGGAGATCCTCAGGCGGAGAGAAATTCATTCGGTCATCTTGAAATCTTCCACTCAAGCGAGTCACTGAAGGCTTCAGCGCCGCTTGTGTTCCAGGGGCTATACCTAAGTTGTCCATCACTCGGTCCAATCCACTCGCACTCCTGGTTGCAGTGATCCGCATAAACTCGGTAAACATCGCCATCCACCTGACATTCGTCTCTTCAGTTCCAGTTCTGGTCGACTCCGCAGCATAAGACTCCTGCACTCTCACCGTCGACTCGTTCCCTTGAAGGGGTCAGTAGTTGCTGTGCAGTAGTTGGTCTCCTAGGAGTCGAAGGTGTCAGCTGTGCCGACGGAATCATAACGTTCGCGCTCCGATCCGGTTCCCCATACGGGGGTTCGGCCACGTCCTGTCTATGTTCCGTTGAGGCTGTAGTTTCTGAAGCCGGCTGGTTCACCATTCCAGGTGCAGGATCACGGAGGTTCGGGTTTCCCTCGGCTCCACTATCCACTGTTCCAGTCGTAGAACTTGGTTGCACCACTACACAGGATTGACACCGTTCGGTCGCCCTTCCACTGGGGCCATCGCGCCGTAAGTTCTCGATGCGGTAGAAGTCGCAGAAATGCGCTCGGTCGTTTGGGCGCTCATAACCTGTAGAACTATCAAAAGAGCTCCAGTACATCGTAGTATGTGGGTGCCAGGGATTTATGCAGTCAAGGCTGCACACAGGCCATGATGAGGAGGCTCTAACTTTTGCGGCTGCCAAAGCACATGTTCGAATGCGCTATGTGTAGTCTGCTTCAAACCCATATTGGGCTTGTGATATGAAAAGCTGTCTGCAGCATTGATCGCTCGCCTTGAGCACTCTTGTAAACGCTGGGTGACCTTGAAAGTTCAGCTGGTTCTCACAACAACTCTGCACATGCTGTGTAGGTTTCCAGCACACTCAAGAGCGCACTAAACTTCCGGCGGTTTAGAGATTTCAGCCGTAATACAAGCTCCTTCTTCAGGAGTGGCGACCGGAGGAAGGGCATCTCGCACATGTAGCGGCCTTGGTGCCTTGTGAAAAATTTGCTGGAGCTGGAGCATGCAGGTGTAGGAAGGAGCCTTAATTGAGGCCCCTAGCGACATTGTCCCAGAGAGGAGGGGGCTGATTCCTGACGGGACGTGTTATTTGTCGGGGGCAGATGGAGGTGGGAATGTTGAGTCTCCACGGAGCCCCGCTAACCGCAAGGTGAGTTTACTGGAAAGCCTGAACATGAATTAGGTGAAATCCGAGTCTCCGGGATGTTCTAATCTTATTTGAGTTCAGGTTTCGGGCTGCACGACCAAAGGTTCCCTAACCCACTTCAGGGCCTGAGGGTTCCAGAAACGTCCTGCGCACCTCTCGTGTAAACTAAACGTCGGCAGGTCAACCGAAAACCCATCCGGTTAAGGTTGCTGTCAGAAGTGTTTGCATGTAGTGGAAGTGGGAGCCAACGGCCCAGCAAGTCCCAGAATCAATTAAGGCTGACATCCAACCGTTTACACATGGGAAGATGTTAATTAAAATAATCAAGAGAACCGTGCATCCATGAAAAATACATGCAACCTCAACCATTGTGTTTGCTGGAGGGTTCAACTTTAGACAGATTCAACCAGGGTTGTCAAGCGTCGCTTCCGTGATGGCAACTAGGTCCGGGCTTTCGTTGCACTCATGAACACTCGCAGACACCCCGAAAATGGAATAGGGTTGTAAACTGTAATCTTTAGATTGCAGCAATGTAAAGGAAAGGCATCCCGGGCCGCTGAAAGGTTTGGAGCAAACAGGTCTAGCATATTAGCAGTTGTCCGGTTTCCCCCCGAGCGCGCTAATCATCAAATGCAAGACGCTAAACGACATGAGTTCTACACCAAGAAGCTCCAACAGCCCAAAGGCATAAAAACACATGAGCCCTCCGACTCCTCGACCCTGGATCCTGTTAAAGTAAACAGTTCAGGGTTCAGAAAGGTCCAAGCCGCTGAGGCCCCGCAAGCCGGAGCCTTCTTCAGAACAGGGTTTCTGTTAAACCACCTGCAAGGCCCTACAATGCCCAAGCCTAAAGCCCAACTCCAAAACACTGAACCGCAAGCATTCGCAGGGGAGGATGCCAAAGAAAGTGGAACATGGCCCGGAGGGACCAAGCAGCGCAGGCAAGACGTTTTGAACTGTGCTTAGAGTCCAGACAAGAAGTTTCCTGGAAAGCTTAGGGTCGGCATGCCGCTGAGGTTTGGGCCCTGTGATTGGAGTCTGGGTCGGCTGTTAGTCTGGGCTCACGACATGCTGGCTTTGCGGCTTTGCAGTATACCCTGCAACGGCGCTATCACAATGCTGCTGCCTGACTGCTTGAAATGCCTCCTCTGCCAAAGCGTCGACACAAAGGCCCGAGATCCGGGACCCGGAGCAATTGAGTTTTCTGCCGCTGCCCTCCCGGAAGCCCACCCGCAAATGAAACACAAAAGAAGCTGCCCTCAAGCATATCTGCGTGGCCGGTTCGGGTTCGAACTTCTCCGAAGGCCTGTGTCTACGCCTCATGCCCGCAACTTTGTTGTGGGTTTTTGTGCCTGGCATGGCCCTAAATCGTCAAGCCCAAAAGTCCAAGTGCATGATCGTAAACGCAGAACCCCTAAGAATGCTTCAAAATCAGGAAACCTGTTACAACATGCACGTCTGCATCTGCACATGGCTTTTCAGGTTATCTGGGATGTAGAATGCTGCGTGCTGGTAGGTATATATAATCATGACAAGACAAACAGTAGCGATGATGCTGTGCATCAAAATGAGAAGCGGCACAATTCGACGCTACCAGATGTTACCAGGAAGTGCAGCCATAGGCTAGATAAGTCGCTACGGAGTAGCGTGCCGTGGTAGTGTTGGGCAAGGCCTTAAGCAATATCAGACTGGGAACTTGTCCCCGGAATGTTCGTGCGCCCCTTGACTGCTCCAGTTAGGCCCGATGCCTTCCTCTCTGGAGATGCTCGAATTGACGCGTCTTGGAGCATGCTCGCTAATCTCAAGTCGCCCATGCACCCGGATCAGGACCTCGACGACGATGGCGCTCCGGATTATGAGACTTATCCGACAGGCTCAGGCAGACGAATCTTGCTGCCACATCGTGGGGTGAGCCGATCCACGGCCACCTCAACTCCCACAGCTTTTGATGATGAGATGGACTTTGCTCTTTCTTTCACGACACAAGAATCCGAGGCCGGTTGCAGCGATGTCGACGCAGTCTTGGGCGAGGAGATGGTGGAGGTCGAGGGTGGTGGTCTTCCTGAGGAGCCGCTGATGCGAAAGATCAACGCGACTAGTTCATTCCGCATGCACGCGGTTCGTGCCCGTCGCGAGCGCATTCGTGCAGCACGACATCAGGTCATCGTTGACTTCTTGCAGAGGAACAACTTCGGTGGAGTCAACGCACCACGCTCTCGCTTGGGCTTGAGGTTGCTCTCGGAATCCGTGTACCCACTCCACGTGGCAGCGCAGCGGGGGGATGCTCACATGGTACAAGAGCTCCTTCGAGAAAAGGCGGATCCAGAAAAGAGGAGCTCGAGCGGGCGCACGGCTGTGGATATGGCACATGCAGCGAACCACTTTGGGTCTCACTGTATGGTGCTCGAGATTTTGTCCGGACGGTGGAACAGCATGAGCTTCCGCGACCTGAGAGCCATGTCCTGCTCTGACACTTAGAACTTTGCAGATACCTTTGACTTTGATGTTCATTATTCGGGTGGGTTTCGAGCACGGTGAAGGGGACGGTCCTGGCACAGACCGAAAATGCTGCATGTGCATCTTGTTTCATCTTTTCTGCTTCAATGTATTGCTTCGTCAAAGTGAACACCGGACGAGCCCCGTGCGTGCTTCTCTCCACGATTTAAAGCCAGCAGATATCCATGAAGTGGCCACGCAGCAAAGAGGCTTGTTTGGAGCCTCATGTTGTTGTTAAGATAGGACGGACAAAGCTACACATGAACTCAACCGTGGCAGCACCGAGTATGTATTACTCGCACTCACAACTCATGGTTTATTTGGGTGTCGGGCAGCGGCTGCATTGCGGACAGACACCTCAGTTGACAGTTACTCAGGTTCGAAGTCGAGAAGCGAACCTTTCTGCAGTCTGCCTGCAGGATGCCGATTCTGTGCATAAGTGTCTGGCTAATGCCGCAGTAGTTGAATGATGGCAGGCCTGCGGAATCGTCATCCTTTGTATTCGTTTAGAGGGTTCTGAATGTCAGGCTCCGGCAGCGCCTTTCACTGTCCCTAGGTGCGCTCAGAAACCGCGAGGGTCAAGTTTCATAGGAGCACAGCAGTGAAAGCTGCTGTTGGGGTGTAGTGGTGTACATGTTGATGCTACTCGAGCCCGATCAGAACCATAGAGTTTTTGAACTCAGGCTTGTGCCTGTGCCCGTGCATTGCGAGATCCTGTGTGCTCTCAGACAGATTTGTTCTTCGGTACTTTCAGGTTTGTGAAAGCACCATGCAGTCCAGATGCTTGCATCGAGCTCGGAAGGCGGACTTTAAAAGTACCCGGTGGCTCGAGCACTGAAAGTCTTCCAAACCTAAAGGCCTTAATCTGTCGAGCCCTGCCACACCGTTGAGAAGGATCTTTGGGCCGTTGAGGGCGTCGAGGGTTCTACGAGTCATTTGCCAAGTAATGGCATTCCCGCAGGCCGTGATCCGAAATTCCGAAACTCGCAAAGCTCGTTACATCGCGGTTCAGGTTGCCGGATACTCACTTGTCAGTCCTTGAGCCTCTGGCCACCACATGTGTTATTACAGGCTCTCTTCTGTCTTAGCTTAACTTAGTTAGGGTACCCAACAAGGAAACCTACCCCACAAGAACGGACGGAACCCCCTGCAGGCAGCAAAGCGAGGAACGCAAAGAGTGTGTCCGTGATGTCCGGCGCATCATTGCCACCCACACAGAAGGTTAGGGCTTATCCTAGTGTTCAAGGATGTCGGGCGTTAGGATCACGGATCAGGGTGGGAGTTGGGAGGCATTGTATTTGTTTTTGCCACTGTTCTGGGCTTCGGGGCTAGTCGACGCCAATGTTCGAGCTTTCTGTCTTGTTTCGTGGGGACGCTTGAGGGAATTCGAAAGCCGCATGATCCAAGACCTCCAACAATTACCCCTTTCAGAGTTCGAGGTTGTATTTTGACTTCTGAGATTGATTCTGCGATGATCATCGCAGTGCTGAGGGGGGACAGAGGCAGAAAGCCCACGCGTGGGTTAATCGCACTTCCTCCTACCGGCTTCATGAAGGCCGAGCTAAGGAAGCGCGGAACCCGAAGCCCGCTTGGCTTGAGTCAAGCGCTTTATCTCGGGTTCTCCATATCCCCTGAACGAAAGCCCCGATACCCCCAAAGGCCCGAACTTGTCTAAACCTCATCGTAGGGGGCCCTGATACCGATCCCAGGCTGACGCCCGGCAAAAGCAGTGCGCCGCTCCTCGTCCTGCTCTTTTGGGTATTGTCTTGCTTCTTTAGGGTTTTGTCGGGTTTGAGTAGGATTCTAGAGGGTTTTATGCGGCTGGAAAGAGCCTGTATAAGGTTAGCAGTGATGAAAGAAAGGCTTCAGGGTCTTTGGGGGTGACGGTGTTGAACGTGCTGTGCTTGCATTGCTTGCAATGTAGGTTTGATTGCGGATTTTGTCTTTTTTGCCTGAGGAGCCAGAGAGACAGAGAGACAGGGCTAACACGGCAGTCCTCCGAGGCATGTGCATGAGGGGCTTTTTGGCAATATCAATATCACAATCCGGGATATGTAGCAAGTAAGAGTGACCACGATTGCGAACCGTGAGAAGCTCCCATGTACATGCTTGTCAATCTGTCCACGAACCTATGACACAGGCAGAACTTGCATCAACTACGTGGGTGGTTATGATCCTGGAAGTGTGGTTTGAATCAGGCGTACCATTCAGGGCTCGGCCAGGCTGAAAGGGTCCAGGCAAAGAATCTTGGCCCCCTCGATATGCAAACCCTTCATGCTCACAAATCCACATATCAGCCGCTAAACTGGCAGGTTGGCAGCTGCTTGGCATGATGAGATTCGCAGTCGCCAACAATCGGTCGAGCCTTGATGCTGAATCATGTGATCCGGGGGGGGGGGGGGGGGGGGNNGGGCAACATTCGGGCCTCCTTTCAGCTGCTTGGGCCCATTATCCGGTGAGCTGCTGCCTCAGTCCTTGCACAAAGCCGTGAGATGAAACCGTCCTTTTGCCCTTGCTTGGTGTCGAGTACGGGGGTCCAGACCCGAAGCCGACTTCCGGCTGTGTTTTTTGTAGCTGGGCTCCTATCTTACACTGGCCAAACTAGAGTGTTTGCCATGACCTGCAGGGCGACGGGACCTTTGTGAAAACATGCATCATGAAGATGGTGTTATACATGTCAGCTAAATGATGCCAGCGTAGACCCGCAAGCAGCGAAAGACCATGCATGATTCCTGTTGTGTCAGCGTGAGTTTTGAACTGTTTTGAATTTGGGCAGAGCTATGATATGCGGGGTCGTCCGGGCTTCAGGAGGGTCTTCTCTGATGCGAACGATGCCTTCCGGACGCCCAGCACGATGCAGAGCGTGCGATTGTTTGTCGTGTTCGTGGTGTGTTTGCAGCCTCTGTGTGTGTGTGTGT